AAGGAGGGACGGGATGGGCGGGGCTGGGGGTACCACCCAGGCTGTGCTCTGCGCTTAGCCTGGACCAGTGGCGGTTCTGCCAGAAGCGCACGAGCACCTCTGCAAGCCTCCTATTTTTTTCCTCACCCTGCGGGCATTTAGTCGTCGCTGCATTTCTCTTTCTGGCCTCAGGTACTCCTTGTGCGCCTGGGAGATCTGACCAACAGACTTGGGGAGCCCCCTACAGGCGCTGGCGTGGGGCTCGTCCTCTTCAAGTTCACAGGTACTGAGCTGCGCGGTGAGAGCATGGCCTGTTCAGAGACTGGAGGCCAAAGGAGAGAAAGAGCCCCATTAGGAGAGGCGGGCAGAGGAGCCTTCTGCCCTCTCCAGTGGTGAGCAGGATTGGCGCTCACAGTATTCTTGGCGGCGCACGGGTAGATGGTGGGGGTTCTGTAGGGAGTTTGTGATTCCCCCTCCCTACGGATTGGACCACTGATGGGAATGGGTAACTCCGCATATCTTTCAAAACACATTCACCCTATAAAGGAGACGCCTCTGTGCTGGTGGGATTGGGTCTTAGGTGGGTTCCAATAAAGCCCACTGTTCTCCACCTCCAGCTGCCTTTTGGCCCACTCTTCTGGCATACCTTCCCACCCTTATCTTCCAGCGACCACACCATCCAGGCATTGCTGACACTGAGTAGTTTAGATGTCCACTGCTCTCTGTTTACCCATCTCCTGGTCCCATCTGAGACTTTGCTTCCCCCTAGCCTCCCTCAGGTCCAGCCTCTACCCACCCCCACCCTTAGAGATCCTGAGAGGACTCGTGATGCTATGGTGTGGACACTGCCCTCTCTTTGGAACAGGGTTTAGATGGCCTCTCATGTTTACCCCTGCACGTACCTACATGTACCTGTGTTCCCATACGTGGACATACATGCACTCAGGTACATGCCTTCCCTCATATGCACATGAGGGGACTTGACCAACAGCATCCAACAGACAGCAGAAGGGGACCTCTAGGCCTGTTGGCCTTGGAAAGTGCAGGGGACTGGGAGTGACTCAGCCCTGTCTGATCCCAGGGCATTGTTTCAGGACCCAAAGCTTGGAACACCACAAGGGTAGTTGCTTAAGTGGAAGAGATAACGTGGACACCACCACACTGGGAGATCAACAGGAGATCCAAGGCTGAGTGGAGGTAAAATCCAAAGGTGCCAGCCTGCCATTCCCCAGGGAGGGCCTTCCTCTTGCTTCTCTTCTGGGAGGGGAGGATCTGAGGAGGCTCTGGCTCCCTTTCATGACTCACCGTCGTCATCTCTCTCGCAGGCCTCACTTTCCCCAACTAGATACATCTCCTCTCAGAAGGGGGAGGGGGTGACGATAAAAAGAGGGATTATGCTATAGTTTGGATCTTGATTGACACCCCCACCCCCCCACCCCGTCACAGGCCTGGTCACTAGGATGGCACTATTGGGAGGTGATTGAATCCCTAAGAGATGGAGCCTACTTTAGGTCATCGGAAGCATGCCCCGGAAGGGGGATTGTAGGACCCCAGGCCCATCATTGTGTCTTTTTTTTTTTTCCTTCCTGGCCATGTGGGGAGTGCTGCATCTGTAACCTCCAGTCACAATGTGCCACCTTGCCACAGGCCCAAAACAAAACAAAAAAAAAGGCCCTTTTTTTCTTTATAAGTGATCTTGGTATTTCATTATAGAGACAGAACACTGACTCAGAGGGACATGTGAGAATGGAACCCAGCACCAGCCTATGGGAAGTTTTTGGTACTTCACAGCCACTGTCTGGCTCAGGTTCCCCAGGGACTTGCCTCTGGCACCCTGGCCCCACCACCCTATGGAGGGACACAGGCTCTCTGGGAACTGGAGGAGAGCATATCATAGTACGATTGGTACTCCCCACCCCTACCTACAGATCCCCTTAGAATCACCAGGAAAGCTTTTGTAACTACTCAGCTTCCCATACCCCTGCCACCCAATATAAAAACTCAATTTATAAAGTTCCCTAGAGGTTCTGATACAAGTTTCTGCTTCAAGGTGATCAGACCTGAGTTTAAATTATTTCACTTACAGTTTGAGCCTCAGTTTTTTCGGGACTGAGTGCCTCCAGCCCCCCACCCCCACCCCCGCTGTGGCTATGAGGAGTGAATAAGATAGTGTTTGGGCAGCTCTGCCCCTAATACCAGGTAAGCAGCTTACTAGGCAGGTGCTTTATGCCCTCCCCCTGCAGCAAATGGGAACCCGACATCATTCATTGCTTCTGAGTGGGTGAAACTACCTTGAGCTCCTCAGATCTGGGCCCAAGATAGCATAGAAAAGGTAATTTAGAGGTCAAGCCAAACAGGACAAAGATTCCCAGCCAAGTTAGGTCCAACCTGGTGTGGGGGGACGCTGACGTTGGGTTAGGATGCCAGCACTGTGAACCCATGGGTCAGCACCCCGATCAGCAGTTCTGAGAAGGCTGAATGCTGGGACAGGAAGCTTTGACCCTGGGGATCTTGTAAAGAGGG